TAGCCATTTGAGAAATGCAAATTAAAACAACACTGAGATTCCATCTCACCCCAGAAAGAATGGCTATCATCAAGAAATCAACCAATAACAAATGCTGGAGAGGCTGTGGGGAAAAAGGAATCTTTCTCCCCTGTTGGGTCTGTAGACTGGTATTCTTTTTTAACATCACCCTCTTTTGTTTCCTTGACTCTTTGATTTTTCTTTATTAATTAATTTTACCTGTTTTTCCACAAAATATTAGATACTTCTTAGCATTAACAATCTAATATTTCTACACTTTATTAAATTCTTCCTTAGTCCTTCAATATTTATTCCTTTTTTTTTTTTACACTGGCCTCATAACTTTTACCTTAAATAAGGTCCCTGGTTTCTGACAGTTCTGTTCTTAAACACATCTGAATTAAAAAGGCTTTCTCTGTGACACTGAGCAACTGTATTTCTTCTGTACTTCCCAAAAGAAGAACAAGATATAATCTTAAGCTCTATTCTGGATATATTTATATTTTCAAAAATATTTTAGAATTCTTTTTCACAGTGAATGAGGAATGGATTATGATTCAAAAGCATTAGCCTTTCTCAGCTTGATAATGAGTTTGAGAACTTTGTGTATAGGTTTGTTGAAATTTCCAGGATACCCCCTGGAAATATCTGAAGGGCTCTGTAAAGCATGAAAGTCAACCCCACACTCAGGCACACACCCAGGTCAACCCCACACCCAGGTAGAATCTGGCACGGAGATTTCTGAAAGTTCCGCAAGTGACTCTAATGTACAGTCAGGCTAAGAACCATGACATCAGGCAATAAAATAAAGAGCTGTGTTGCTGCTCCGGCCTGCTGCAAACCTCTCCCAAGTCATTGGGACATTTGCCTTAATATTAAAGTCAAGTGGGGGGGGGGAGAAAAAGGAATTGTGGCATTCTTGAAATCTGTCACATTTAAATCCTTTTGAGAATATCTGAACTATGCTACTAATGACAATTTTACTTCTATATAGTATGAAAATGCTTTGCGTGTAACTCACTGAATAATGTGTTGAAAGTCAAGCCCATAGTTAACATTAACAGATATATTTCTTTTACAATGTAGTTTATGTTAACTAGCCTGTGGGCTCCTTTGCAAGGTGTAAATCAGAAGTTATTCATCTTTGTCCTTTTTCTTTTTTGGTGGTGGTGGGGGGTACCAGGAATCAAACTCAGGACCTTGCACTTGCCAGGCAGGCTCTTGTGCTGCTGAGCTACATCCCTGGCCCTCATCTTTGTTAACTGAATCACTGGGATACATTTTAATGGTGTTCCTACTGACATCAGTAGGAAGGTGTCCATAGTATTTCCAGTAAGGAAGTATTGCTTAGTCATTAAATGTCTTGTGACCCATCCTCCTCCATTTAGTCTGCTCTCCTGCTTTTGGACACATCTGCTTTTCTTCTGTCCCCCTGAGACTCATAGCTGGAAAAAAAACAAAACAAAACAAAGCAAAAAAACTTCTCCTCCCTCATATTAAAGACTTGTGCTTCTAGTATATTCAAATATGATCAGGTACTCCAAAATATCTTGGCTCATGAAAATGTTGGACAAATGTAAATTGTCATTTTGATGATGGTATTAGCCTTTCCATTATCTGATTATTTTTACCTTTTCCTTTCTCCCACCTCTTCTTATTATTGGCAGCCTGACAATATAAGCTTTGGCAATCTTTTTTCCCCAAATACTTTCTCTACAACTTCCTTTTTTACTCTTAAGAAATAATGAATCTTTGTATTTTTTAATTGACTATTTCCCCTAAAACACAGGGAGAGGTAATAATTATAGAACTTCAGATGTGATTTCTCATCTCTATCCCCTCATTTGTTTCTCTTCTTTTCCATTCATTTCCCCAAGGCTCCTTTTCATTGTTGCTTTTTCATTTCACCTGCTCTCTTCTGGATGTGTTCTAAGAGCTGGGGGTATTAGGGAGCCTCAGTTTAAAAGCAAACAGCAAAACATGCTGTCACCTTCAGAACTTGGTATGAAACTTATTCTTAAAAATTTAGATCCCTAGACTTCATCAAAACAAGTTAAAATCAGAGTGAAAAATATTACACTGTGGAAAACAATGACAGATTGATCAAGATGAATCAACAATAACAACAAAACCGTATAATGATTTGTAGAACTGTATTTGTTGCCTCATGTTTGCTTCTAGTGTGTGTGTATAAATATATAAGTATATCTGTTGTAGCTTTGGCAGTGAAGCCTATTTTCTTATCAGATAAATAAAAATTCAGTTGTATATTCCAAAAGTTACTGAATAATAAAAAACACTGAAAGAATGAAAGTATATATTATTCAATGGAGCTTACTGTGTCTCAAATTTAGTAAAAGCCAACCTATGATTTATTGGATTCATTCATAATTCATGAGGAGAGCAATACTTGAATCCATAGAGAATGAAGGTGTGCCAGGTGTGAAAGAATTTATGGAAGAAAATACTGGCTTAGATAAATGCTGTCATCTGTACAGTATGTCCCATATGCTGGGAATAATGACTTATGATCAATCATATTCTGTTCTTAATTTTAATTATAAGCTAATGTTAATCACAAAATTACTTGCCATAACATCATATGATTCTCCATTTCTAAATACTCTGGTGTGGCTTTGTATTATTCCTTGAACAATTAGTTCCTCCAGAATGTCTGATGACTTTTGTCGCTCTCTGTTCTCTAGGGGTTGCAGTTTATTGATTAATCCATTGGTCACTGGATCTTCTAAGGGAAAAGAAAGAAGAAAGGGAAATTGAAAACAATGTTTTTTTATCAATCACATGGCTTACAAATCACACTACTCACTTAAATCTTAGTCTTAATTTTAGTGTTTGCGTCTGTTATGAAACTTAGTAACTTTTAAATTCAAATTCTTACTGTTGTTATGGAGGAAGCATATCAACATAATACATTCTTCATTTAGCAGGTCTCATTAACATAACAAAAGTCTTTCACATGCTGCTATGTACTACTTTTTTGTTGTAACAACACTTCTACACTTGGGGACGATGATGAGTTTGTCTGCTAATTATGAAGCTAACCTACAGCTAAGACTCAGACATTCTTGTGACTCCTATGAGTTACAGTTTGGTTTCTATGCTTTGTATACAAAGGATAAACAGCACGATGTTGCCAAGAGACAGCTAGTTCTGCAACTCTGCGTGTACAATTATACCATCTGCTAAATCTACAGCAGTAAAACGATGCATTTTTTATTTTTTATTTTTTTGGTTTTTCTCCGGTACCGGGAACCGAACTCATGACTTTGCGCTTGCCAGGCAGGCGCTTTGCTGCTGAGCTAAATCCCCAGCCCCTAAACGATGCATTTTTGAAAAGTCTTTGAGCTAAATCAGAACTAGAGGTACAATGGTATCAGCTAAATTTTTAGGAGTGAGTTTAAAAGGGAGCAGGGAAACATCAGTAGGAGACCCTTTATAAACTGTAGTCATGAGAGAACACTTCATTACAAATTGCCCAGTTATATAAATTATCAAATAAGCAGTCACATTTATCATCACATGATAACATAAAGGGTGCTGGCTGGTTGGTCTGGAGACAGCTTTGCTTTTCCTGTTCAAATTGCTGCAAGGTGGAGTCCTCAGGAATGGACTCTCCTCTATTTTGTCATCATCAGAAAGTTGGGAGAGTCACTGAGTTCACTGCATTTAATGGATGGAATTGTTTAATGAGAAAGTCTAACCCCAAAGATGACAAAGACAACTTCCATCAATTTGGGCCAGGAAGGAAGACAACACACCCACAGACATGCGCACCCACAAATCAGGTATATCTCCCTTCAGAATATTAATCTACCTGTTACCAAAGATTTCTGTAACCATAACAAATAACTCCAACAAATTGCCTGCCATCTCATATCTTTTCAGGACCTGCTCTTCTGGCCACATAGATGTTTGAAATAAAACCAATTCTCATTTTAAAGTGCTCTATGCAGACTTTGGTCTGCGGTAAACTAGATCATCCAGGCAGATGAACTAGAAACTTGAAACCGTGGAGAAAAATTCAATGAATGATCAGAGGTGAATCTGCTTTAAGGAATTAGAATGATTTTTAAATTGTTGTTAGAAGGTAGACCTTCTGGGAGGATCAAAGCAATAACTATTACTGCTTAGTGAGTACTTAAGGTACCTAACCTAGACTAAGGTCTTTACATACTGTATCACATCTAATTCAAACATAACTCTGCCAAAGATATCATTATCTTGATTTTATCAACACTAATGTAGGCTAATAACTTGCTCAAGGGACCTGATTTGCAAGTATGTAAATGAGGACTGATTCTAAGTCTGTTTCAACATCCATGTTCTCACCAAATGTGTCATGTAAATGTTTACACTCCTGAGCCCAGGGTCTCTATTCTAGCATGTTTCTAAAAGGGATATCATGTGTGACATCTGCCACTAACATCATAAAATTATTGTAACTACTCTGATTCATTGTTTTCTAAGTCCAGTAAAGTATCTGGTGTGATAGTAAAAGGAGCTTACCTAAGTAGAGATTCCTGGAATATCATAACCATTTAACCTCATTTTCATGGAACAATGGAGAATATTGGGGAATGTTTAAAAATAACATCTTGCTGCTGTTTATTATAAAAGTAATACATGATTCCCATAGTAAATTTAGAAAATGTACACAAGAACAAAAAGTAAGATTAAAATGCCTACATGCTCACTTCCCAGATATTATCAATGTTAAATATAAATGTTTATTTTAAAAATTTTAATTTGGATTTAATTTATTTCAAAATTTGGCATCATACTATATAGATGATTTTGTTTCCTATACTTACCTTAGCTTTTTATTATGTCATGAGAAATTCTGTAGAAGTGTAAAAAGTGAAATTATAGTAGAAAATATGGGTGAAATCACCTTAACCTTGGTATAGGGAAAAGCCTTTTCATTTTCTCAAAACCCAAATGTATTAAAAGATTAATAAACTTTACTACACTAAAAATAAAAACTTTTACAAGGCATACAAAACATCAGAGGTAGATATCCTGTACTTCAAAATGTAGGTACTAAAAAGTACAATATCATTTTTCATACTCTCATCAAAAATATGTGACCTGAACCAAACTTTGAAAGCCCAGACAAACCCAGATTGAGGAAGATTCTACAAAATAAATGGCCTGTACTCCTCAAATATACCAAGGCCTTAAAAATCAAAGAAAAGCTGAGGGTGGTTCAGATTAAAGGAGACTAAAGGCACATGATAAATGAATTAAGCATGTGATATAGGATTAGATTCTGAATCATAAATCACTTTACAAAGGTCTTCTGTGATGCAATTGACAACATTTGAATAGGGTCTATAAATGAGCCAATAGTACTGCATCAATGGTAATTTCCTGATTTTTATTCTTTACAGAGATTGCGCAAAGAATATCCTTGTCTTTAAGAAATACACACTGACTTATTTAGAAGTAAAGTCACATTAAATGTACAACTAATTCTCAGAAAAAATAGAGACACTTGCGTTTGAGGGGTTATGATCATGCAGTTGTGGTTACATATTGACATTGCAGGAATCTGGATGAACGAATATAGATACTGGATTGTTTTTTGCATTTCCAATTTTTTTATTGAATCTGATATTAAAAATAAAAAGTTGTTTTCCTTTTAAAGAAAATACAGATAGGTCTAGACTTAATGATGGTTTGACTTAAAGTATTTTGGCTTTAAAATGGTGTGAAAATCATATGTATCCAGTAGAAACTATACTTTGAGTTTAGGATTTGGATCCCCCTCCAAAAAATGGACCAATCTTGTCTTGGGTGCTGGATAGTGGCAGTGTCTACAGCTCCCGGTCAGCTCTATCATTAGAAGGAGAAATGACCAATACTCTACAGCGTGCTGTGCAGCTGAGCTACAGTAGGATATTCCATAAGTTACATGTTGCCAATTCATTTTTGACTTACCATATTTCAGTTGATGCTCATCAGGACATAACCCCATCATAAGTAAATCAAGGACCATTTGTACTTGGGAAATGTTAGTGTTAGATTACTAATGGTTCACATCATTTACTTATGTAATGAAGGCCTAAGGCTAAATTCTAATATTTTAAACATAAGAACCTTCCCATTTAAAGTACCTTCTGGTCCACAAAGCAGTGATAAAAGGCCATCAAATATATATTATGTAATACCTTTGCAGAAATGATATTTTGTATAGATCAATACAAACAGGAGTTTTTACCTGAATTTACTTTTTTATTTCTGTGGCTAGGAGATGGAGAACTCTCTGGAATGGTTCCAGGTAAACTTCCCATCAGGACTTGAGGCTTCAGACACTCTGAACTGTCTACAGTATCCTGGGGAGGTTCCCCTTGGGCCTGGGGACTGCAGTCCGCCCTTGCAGGCATCACCCTTACGTCAGCCTGTGAAAAGGGACAAGCTTGGTGAAAATCCACATTTCCTGTGGGAGTGAGAACAATGCCCCAGGGTCTGCTTTGTAAACAGTTGGCAACTGGTGACTGTGGTAGGTTGGAGAGCATCCAGAGGTCTGCAGCTGTTACGTGGTATGGCAAACCTGCCTAGCAGGTGTGATAAAGTCAATGTTCCAAGTGGCAAGATTGTCCTGACTTCTCCAGTTGCCCAAGTGTTAGAAAAGAGTGAAAGATGGTGTGAGGATGGGAGAAGGGAAGGACTGAAGACCCTTTAGCACTGGAGTTGGAGATGGAGAAAAGGGCCATGAGCTAAGGAGTGTGAAGCACACAGCTCTAGAAGCTGGAAAAGGACAGAAAAAGGTTCACACCTTTGAGTTTCTGTACTGAGTTTGATTAGTTTGCATTTCTGACTTCCAGAAGACATCTGTGTTGTTTTAAGTCCCTGAGTTAGTGTTAAGTTTTAGAAATAGGAGTAGGAAACTAATATAGTTCTACTAATTCATATTAGTGTCTAATAGGCATCAGTCAGATACAAGCTACTATCTTAAGATTTCTAGAGGATACCAAGATAAACAAGCCCATGGTCATCAAAAATAAAAGTAGAGATACTACTTTTCTTTTCTTTTTTTTTTTTGTCTTTTTGAGACAGGGTCTCGCTATGCAGTTCAGGCTGGCCTTGAGCTCACTTTGTAGCACAGGCTGGTCTTGAACTCACAATGATCCTCCTGCCTCAGCCTCCAGAGTGCTGAGATTACAGGCATGTGCCACCATGCCTGGCTGAGGTACTACTATATAAGAAGTATTTTCAAAAAGGAAAATATATTGATTTTTCAGATTTTAGTAATACAGATTCACTATAAAAGTAATTAAAAATATAGAAGGAAACTGTGATAGTCACTATAGTAGTGAGTTATTCAGTGAAACATTAACATGTGTTGCCATGAAAGTATTTCATATATGTGTGTGATATCTACAATCAATTTACTTTAAGTGTAAGAGGACTATCTTTGATCATTTGGTTCTCATTCAATCAATTGAAAGGCTTCAAGGATAGACCTGAGGTCCTACTGTGGAAGAAGACATTTTTCGTGAACTATAGCTTCATCTCCAGCCTATTCTTTCTGATCACATGCCCAATTCTATGGATTTTGAACTTGCCTGGCCAGTCCATGATTGCACAAGCCATTTCCCTGCAATACATTAATCTCTCAAGCCATCTATCCATCTCTCCATCCATCCAGCCATCTATTCATCCATCCATCCATCCATCCATCCATCCATCCATCCATAAATCTATCCATCTATCCTCCTGGATCTGTTCCTTTGGTAGAATCCTAACTGGCACAGAAACATAGCTAATAATGAGTACCACTACTTAGATGGAAGCACTATCAACATCTTAGTTATCACCTCCTACATGTATTTGCTCATAAAAATAACATTTAAAAATAAGTTGAAACTGGCCAAGAATCCCATGGAAAGATCTTCAATATCATTAGTTATTAAGTAAATAAAAATCAAAATCATAATGAGATACTTCACATGCACTAGGATGACTACAGTGAAAAAAAACACACACAATAATAAGCATTGGTGAGGGTGTGGAGAAATTGGAGTCCTCATGAACTATTGCTTTGGAAATGCAAGATGGTGCAGCTGCTTTGGAAAATAATTTTAGAGTTTCCCAAAAACTTTAACCATAGTAACTGTGTGATTTGAAAATTCAGTCCCAGGTATATACCAAACAAAATGAAATTATGTGTTCACCCCCAAAACTTGAATCTAAAAGTTCATAATTCATAACATTCAAAAAGTGGAAACAACTGAAATGTCCATCAATTGATGAATAGATAAATAAAATGTGGTACAGTCATATAAAGGCATATTATTTGAAAATAAAAAATTAATGATACATATACAACATAGATAACTATGATAAGTGATAGAAGCCAGTCATAAAGGCCATTCATACTCACAGTGGAAAAATTTATCGATTTAGTAGCTGACTGAGTCTAAGGGAGGTGTACACTGATGAAAATAATAATTGCTTATTTCTTTTAGAGGGGACAAAAGTGTTCTAAAATTATATTGAGGTATTGGTTTTCAATTGTATGTTTTAAATGGGTGAATTGTATGGTACGTGAATTATGTTTCAATTAGGCTGATTTAAAAAAATAAGATAGCTCAATCATGATACTATATTTGGTAACACTTTTTTCCCCAGTAATAATATATCAGAGACAATTACCTATTGTATCATGTTTAGGTCTGTCTCATTTTGTCTAACGTTGAGGAGTAGAAAATAAGTTCATGGTAGTTCACTTTGTAACCCTACCACAATTTATTTAAGCCACTACTAAGTTATTTCTAACTTTTCAATATTGTAAACATTCCTAAGATAATAATATTTGTGCATATACTTCCTTGTGAATCTATTTACTGGTTTAATGAGAAGAATTCCTAAGATGTAGGAGGATATGCTGGTTCAGAGGCTATGCACACTTTCTAAAATACTCTATGTGTTCTCAGACGGCCCTGCATAAATACTGCACCATTTAAAAAAATTCCACATTATCTCTTTAAGGGTGTTTGTTTTTACAGACCACAGTTGCGTTACTTATAAAGCTAGCCTGTAACATAGTACATCACTGACATCACAGTACTGGCCCATGTGAAACTTTTCATAGTTCCTAACAAAAGAAGAAATTCAAAAATGTAATGAGTTTCTTCAACTTGACTCAATGTAAAGCATTGTGATTTGTTTGGAGGATAAGTATATTTTAAATATTAATCTGTTCATATCCCTCTACCATGTCCCTCTCTCCCAGGGTTGGTGCTTCTTTCACTCACGTGTTTTAGTTTCCCCACCTCATTTCAATGGATGCTATCAACTTTTCCTCCTCCGAAGACATATGCACCTGAGGAAGCTTCCTCAGTATCCCCAGAAGAGGTAAGAACATAAGCATCTTCCTTGCATATTACCTTCAGCCTCACACTCTTTGCCGCCCAGTCTTGTGGTCCTGGGATACAAGTTTCCTGCGGGCAAGGAGAAAGGACTTTCTAGACAGAGGGACAAGCATACAGTCAGGTGTATGAAACTGTGTTATGTGCCAGGAACTTGAGTGATTCCAGTGTTGGGGAAACAGATTGAGACAGAGGTGGGAAAAGGAAGGCTTTTGTTACAAGGAAAGGAGATACATTGTTTTGAATTCAACAGGAATTTTGTTTCTTTGAAGAATTTTTACTCACAAAAGTGAAATAAAACCATCATGTATGTTTTCAAGAAAGATTACTTGTGGGTTAGTGTAATTATGGGAGTAGAAGAAAGAAAAAAGGAACAGAACAGAGTTGACCAGGGAGGATTATTGCTATCACCCAGCATAAACTAGGACCCTGGCTGTGAAGACAAGGGAAGGAGGGAGGTCCTGAAATATTCAGAAAAAACATAAAGGACCACTCAGAGATTCAGTTGGAGCAGTGAGGATCCCTTCTGGCTTTGAAATTGTGACTCTAAAAATTGACAGAGACCAAGAAACTCTAACAATTGTACACAGTTACAAAAATATAAGCACATTTGGCCACTTTCTGGAATTGTGTCCCGCTGACAGGAAAGCCAACTCTAAAATTTGAAGTTCCTTGGAGGCCAAGTAGAAATCCAGTGGATAGGGGCAGGTCATGCTCAGGACCTCATAATTCTATTAAGGCCTCTAATATGTTCCCAGGGAAGATCTACAGAGCTCCTTATTGTGTTTATGTAAAATGATCACTCCACTAAACTTACATTGTTCTGTGGGATAATTAGATCTATGGCTCATGATGATGTAGAAAATATGACAACCAACCAACTAAACACAGAAACAAACAAAAATTCAATAGATCTGAAATACGTCAGCACAAGGAGAAAGCCTGAAAGCATCATGCTCTTTTCTCTATCTTCACTTTTCTTCATAGACATCACTGTCCAAGCAGTCCTTGCAGAGTAGGTAAACCCAGAAAAATGTCTTTATATATAACATAGCTCCTGTCACATACAATATATGATGTGCATATGTGTACATATAATAAAGCAAAAAGAGAGCCTATCTGATGTTTTTTATTTGAAGGGCTCACAATTCACAGTGAAAATAAAGTGCAAAGCATGTTAAGCATTCTTCGCCTTAGTCTCGAACTATTGAAAGCCAGTGTGTGGGGTGTCAGTAAGACAAGTAGTTTCACAAGTTCATTTTGTTTTGCAGATTCATCGTTTTTGGAGACCAGCAAAGCAGTGAGTTCCACATAGGGACTAATTTTGTCACTTAATTTTGTCACATTTCCAAGTGGAGATCCTGGAAAATGTAATTGACTTAATAACAACAGTAGCAGTAGCAGCAGCAGCAGCAGCAGCAGCAGCAGCAGCAATAACAACAAAATGCTCACAATGGAACTGAAGGCAAAATTGAATGTTTTCAGTGGATTGTTTTTCACAAAGACATTCCACAAATGACAAGTTGAAATGAACTTAAACACCACAACTTGAATGACCTCACAATTACTTCATCAAGTGCTGCTATATAGTCACTTGAATCCAGATCTTAGCAAGGAGCTCTGCCCACTTGTGCTGAGTGATAGTCTGCTGTCAGCTGACAAAACAGTGTTTTAGCATCAAGTAACATGTACTAGCCTTAGGGACAGAAACTTAAGGCTCTTCTTTTTTGAAAAATATAGCACTCTCTCAACTATCTTATCAAAGTGCAGCACATTCTGGGAATTTAAACTCAATTTCATAATTTAGCTTTGAGAATAGACATAGTTCAAAGACCAGAGATATTGCCAGTTTAATTAAAATCTATGCCACTCAGAGATATAACCAATCATGTTTTTGTTCCATTGATAAAGGCAGAATTTGTATTTTCACACCAAAAGGAAGACTATCTGCATTATCTGAGAATGGTACCGAGGGTCTGGGTGAGGAAATGGGTGGGAGACTTTATTTTTTCCTTGAGATGATGCTGTAGAAATACAAATCCAACGTGTTTCTACATGTGCTATCAATTTTATTTTGAACTTTGGTGCTCTAAGCATAACATTTTTTCAATTTTAGACAGAGTTAAATTATGAACTCCAAGATAAGTCATGCATAAAAACTATCAGCATTCCCAAAATAGGCATTGCTTCTAACTATAGACAGGTGTTCCTTGTTTGTGTTTTGTGAATTTTTGGAAAAAATTTTTGGTCTACAGGTATTACATGTATTCTACAGCTTTTGGAAAACATATTTGCCAAACAGTTAGGAGATAATTTGTTGAGGCTCCCCAGAGCTGAAAGCTTCTTAAGTCAAATTATTAGCAGATGCATTTTATAAATATATTTGTCTATAGACATATAGGAAGATTTTTGTTCTTTAAAATTTGATTTTTTTTGCAGTTTACTTCTAGTAAATGCAATAAGAAATAGCAACTCTAAAAACAGTGATAACTGTTTAAAAAGCTAAACATTAAAAAGTAATTTAGCCCTTTGTACAGACAATAAGTAAGAATTTTCTTATTAAAGAAAAACTGGGAACAATTTTTGGAGGGCACCTACTGCAATTGAACCTTCCGCTATTTAAAATAGGCAAGGAAACTTGAGTTATTCGTATAAAAGAATGGCACTTCTCCAAGTAGGAACATTTCCTGTGCTTTTCTTCTTATACATTATTTTATTGTTGTGTCTTCTTGCCACTTTAGTCTAAGGTGAAGGTGAAGAGCAAGTCTGTATTCAATTCTCAAGAAGTTTAATTCAGAATATTTTTAAATTGTGCTGCTAAGAAACATAAATATTTCACCCCGGCAAACATGTTCACCTTATTTTAAGGACATTGCTGAACTTGAAACCCTATGCATTTATAAGAGTAGCAGAAGCATTTCTATTCTTACAGCTATAGAGTGTTTAATTAATTATAATCATACCCTTCCTAGATCGGATTTCCAAAGTCAAGTGCTTTGGGTCATGAAAAGAGAAGATATACTCATGGGTTGACTTTGAGTCTATTTTCAGGTTATTTTAATATTGAATTTCCTCCATATAGACTGTCATTGGCCCAGTTATGCTACTAGGAGACAAGAGCACTAAGGAATCCGGGGAGCTGGGAGGGTGCAGGGAGGAGATGCAGTCACTTGGGAAATATTCACTAGTGCCTGGTTTGCAGGAGACAATGCAGTGAGCACTAAAGATATGAGATAAAAAGAGTGTCTGCCCTCAAGGAGGTGACAGCTGAAAATGGGAAGTAAATCTGGAAACAAATAAATATAGGAAAATGGTTTGCAGTCTGATAGGAGAATGCATCAGATGAGCCCTGTCAGAAGAGTATAGGGAAGAGCCTCCCTGAGTCATTTTGAAAGATGAATAGAATTTGACATGTGGCCTTAGAAAAGAGGAAGAAAAAATCTGAAAGAAGAGAAAACAGCAGCTGCAAAGCATGGAGACAGAACTGGAATAGGCCTTAGGAAGAAGCAGTCGGGTCTGTTAGAATATGCTTGCGGGGAGAGACGAAATGGGAGAGGTTGGCAGGAGTCAGGACAGCCGAGAATGGCATGTTAAGCAATTAGGACTTTCTTTTAGAATAGGCAGTAAATAGTAATCATTGTAATAACTTATTTTAAGCTCTTATTGTGTGCCAGGCATGGGTAGGAACCCTTCCCATGAACTGAATTAATGTAATCCTCATGACAACTCTATAAAATAAGTATTGCTATTACCTTTATTTACAGATAAGGAAACTGGGGCACAGAGAGGTTAAAGAATGTGACCAAAGGGGCTGGGGATTTAGCTCAGCGGCAAAAGCACCTGCCTGGCAAGCGCCAGGTCGTGAGTTCGGTTCCTGATACCGGAGAAAAACCAAAAAAAAAAAAAAAAAAGAATGTGACCAAGGCCACACAACTAATAAGTAATGAATCCAGAAATTAAATTTTGGTTGTCATAGTCTCAACCATCAGTTTTGTGCTCCCCTCGGGTTGGTGGCTTTTTTCTAGCACAAGGCTGATACGTTTGCTTTTATTTTAAAGAGGTCACCTTGGAGGGTGTGTGGAAGATTAGACGGGGGGGGGGTGGTGGTGGTGGTGGTGGAAATGGATAAGGAATCCAGGAGAACAAAGAGGAACGTGGGAGGGTGGGGGGTGTAGCTCAATGGCGGGGAGCTCCTCTAGCATGGACTGGGCCCTCAGTTTAATCCCCTAGACTTAGAAAAACATCCAGGCATGCTGATGATTATCCACCTTACCCAGAACATTCCAGAAGAAACCAAGGAGTCCTCCCAGGCCTTTGGAAGGGCCTTCACCTAGAGGGACTTAGTATATACACTCCCGGGACTGTGTTTTAGCACTCTCTTCTGCTTTACAACAACAAAACCATTTTCAGTAATAATCATGAGATCGAACCAATGATCATATCCAGGAAAGAAACCCCAAAGTGTGAAAAATTTCTTCTATTGAAGCCTTACATGAAATCATGCCCAAAATAAATGAATAGGGATAAGAAAAAAAATGTTTATGTGGGAAAAGAATATCAGGGTAATATTGTTAAGTGACGTCAATCTGTTTTTGGAAAAAGGGAGAAAAATATTCTAACATATTAGTGGGGAACAATATCATAGTAACAAAGATGACAAGTATTCCCATGAAGGCCATGAACGTGTCAAGGAAGAGGGGTTTAAGCAAACATCCACCAGGACATAGAGGAGGAGCCTTTAACCCAGAGGCTCTCAAGGGACCCTTCAGGAAAGGTGGCCCTAAGCCCCAGTGTGCCAGGGAAATGTATGAACCATATTCCCTTTCACTTTTTAAAAACAGTATTGAAGACTGAACCCAGGGTCTTTGCATTGAGCTACATCCCCAGCCCTTTTTATATTTTATTTTGAGATAGAATCTGGCTGAGTCACCCAGGCTGGTCTTGAACTTACTAACCTCCTGCCTCAGCCCCCCAGAGCGCTGGGATTACAGAATGCACCATCATCCTGGCTTCCTTTCAGTATGATTGTGGTGGTAAATCATAGGGTCACCCTATGTTTGGGTAACGCCTCCAAAGCAACGAATCCTTAGGGTTCCTAGTTCTGTCTATGGGATCTTGAAGGAAGAAAGGATGGGAAGGAATATGGGGCTTATTTCTATGACAAGCAACTCACCCCGGTCCCAGCCCCTCTAGAAGAACCCCCTCCACGTTTCCAGACTTACAGCGGACACACTTTGCGGGGAAGTGGAGAGTTTTGGAATGAGGCTTGAAAACTAGATTCTGTCCAGTTCCACCGTCACATAAACTATACAGCTTGGAGCAAATCTTTCACCTCTCCGGCCTCCTCCATGGAGTGAGAGGATGCGGCCAGGTGGTTCCGGAGGGCACTCTCAGCTCTACGTGCCAAAGAGCCAATTTCCCAGGAGCTCCCGCTCCAGGTCTGTCCCCAGGCACTCCTACCTCCCCGGATCATCAAACCATCCTCAGGTCTGTGCAGAACGCGCAGTTCCTCTCGCTTTTTCTGCCTCCGCCTCGGGGGCTGTGCCCAACCTTGGCAGGCTCTTTAAACACCAAAAGCTCTCAAAACTGATCTCATGTTCCTCGCTGTTTCTAGGGAGAGTTATGCACACATAGATCACTAGACACTGGCAGAGGGAAGTTGCTCCCACTTCGCTCACCCTGTGACTCGCCCACGAGGCGAACTTGGCGCTTTGGCAGACCCAGTTCCAGCCTACTGCAGCGGCCCCCAAGCACGGGCATGGAGACACTTCCCGAGCAAAAGGTTTCTGTCTGTGTGCGGTTTTATTGCTATCGAGGTTTTACCTTGCATTCATCTTCCCAGCCCCTCCTGGGCGCAGGCGCGCGTCTCCGGTTCTCTGCGCCCTGGGAAGGTCCGCAGCCCATGCCGCGCGCTTCCCTCCTTGCGCTCCGAGCCGGGCACCTTCCGCACCTTCCGCACCTTCTGAAGGTGAAGGCAGTCGCCTGGAACTGTTGTCATAATAAACCACGTCATGCGGACCTGGAATCCGGCAGCGGTGGGACTTTAGTAATGGAAAACTGGAGGACCCGGGCGATCTGAGTCATAGCGAGGATACAGGTGTATCCAGAGCGAGGGACAGGCGGGGCCCGCTGCCTGGGAGAGTTAGTTTTTAAAATACCGGAGTCCAAGCATCCTGCGGGGACCTTCTATTTATTTATTTTTCTCTGCAAGGCACAGTGAGACACGCCTCCAGCCTGGTGCCTTGTCCGCTAGTCCAAACAGCTCGAGCTGTTTTCAGTCGCTAAGGGGATCGTGTAGACAGTGATCGCGCAGCAAGACAGCTGCGCATGACCACTCACCGCAGACCTGGCTAGGGTGCAGAACAGCGCCAGACGGCAGGGTCACAGGGGACCTCAGAGGAGATCGTCACACAAACAGAAAGCCAAATGGGGAGGAAAACCAGACTTGCGGGACCATAAACAGCTCTGCAGCTGCCGAATGGGCCACGCAAATCATTTTTTATGGAAGGTGTGTTTTAGGAGGCGTTAATGCTGTTAGGAGAGCGCGCGTGCACGCATACTTCTCGCAGAGAATTAAAAACGGGGGAACCCATCAAAAAAGACAGGCTAGGAAGACTGTTCAAGTGAGCAAGTCTACCTTTTCTGGGTTTCTTTTTATCTTATTTTTCAATTGTTCAGAAGGAGGTAGCTGAACCGGATTTTAGAGATCTATGGTACCCTTCATGTAACAGGGTGCAAACTCAGGCTCTAAGTTTTTTTCCTGAGATCACAGGGAGGTAGTTATTGAGGAAGGGGTGAGGATGAATCAGGTGGCCTCACTCAGTTTCTCCATGGATCCAGACAAGAAAATACAACTACGGAGGAGTCTTGGAAGTTCTGGATCCTTCCAAGGAACAAATAGCTCTGATGTAAGAAGCTGACCATTTGCTTTATAGCATTTAAACGCATTCCACTCTCTTCCTCCTAATGCTCTTGAAAGATTTTGTCAATTTTCCTTTTACTAAAGTTAAGGAAGAGAAGGTGCCCCACAAGGCAAAGTATTATAATTACGGGACAACAAACATTAAGATTTATGAATGAAAAGTTGAAATCAAGCTAAAGCGGTGTTTGGAAAATATCTTTGACAGTATTGACTCGTGGGCGTAATAAGTCACACTGAATGTTTCAACTGAAAACTGGAAAATTCTCAGCTAGAATAATCCAATGCAAAGGGTAACGATAAAATGTTCTCGGGAAGGTTTAATGGGTGTTTGTAGAGCTGTAAGAGTGAAATACTGCACATCACTTTTTTGTTTTAAGGTTAGCTGAACAGAAATTTGCAGAGAATGAAGTTTGCTGAAATGTGTTACCTGGGTATCTTTTGGAGCTTTCTAGGACAGCATCCAAAGCTTTCACCATCATGAAAATGTCCCATCTCTAGGGCATGCAGGGCCAGCACTTCCTGGATCACTCACAAGAGCAGATTATAAGGAATTTTTTTGTTTGTTTGTTTTTTTTTTTGGTTTTTCTCTGGTACTGGGAACCGAACTCACGACCTTGCGCTTGCCAGGCAGGCGCTTTGCCGCTGAGCTAAATCCCCAGCCCCTATAAGGAATTTTTTGATCCAAAAATTTATAATTAATGTAATTATGTTGAAAGCAAAGGTAATAAGTATAACTGCATCTTGAGTAGCAAAGGTGTAGACCACCTGTTAATACTGAATCTTTACTTCAAAAGGCAGAAAGTAAAAAATAAAAGCAAAAAACAAACAGAAGGGAAGGAAGGAGAAAGTAATGAGGAGGAAAATGAAGAAGAATCTGTTAGTTAATTAAATATAGAAGAAAAGAAACACTGGCCCCATTTTATCATGGGATCTTTGGCTTGGGAAGATCTTTATGCAAAAAAATTACAGTTAGGAGCCATGACGCTTCACCGCCTCTGTGTCCCTGCAGTATGGTGCACTTGTGTATCAGGCAGCGTGGTTGCGTGGAGTGAGGGGTTTTCAAATTCCACATGGAAAACTTTCAGATTTCAGTTCAGACTGAGCTTTTGGAGGAAGTGGAAAAACCACACAGAGAAATCAGTTCTGATCCCATCCTCAGTTCATTGACTTTATTCTTCTTATGAATAGACATTCTTCTTTTTCATAACATTCTCCTTAGGCATAGGAAAACTGTATGCTTTCATCCCCACTGGCTAATTCTTATGTGATATTAACATCTTGAGTGCTCGCTGAGAGGAAAGCTGATGGCTGTGCTGTTGTTTCTATTTTCAGTCCATTAAGAAAGCAAGGGTTTGAAAACTGTGACCCGTGGTCCACTCTGGCCCCCTGCTTGCCTTTATGTGACACATGAGCTGAGAATGAACATCATGTTTTTAAATGGTGGAAAAAATCAAAAGAGGCATATGACTTGATGATTTGTAAAAATTCCATGAAATTCAAATTTTACTGGCTGTAAATACAGTTTTACTGGAACACAGACCCTCTGATTTGTTTATGTATTACCTCTGATTGCTCTTGCACTATCACTGACAGAATTGAGTAGCTCTGACAGAGATCATATGGCCCGCAGAGCTTAAAATATTTATTATTTAACCTTTCACGGAAAACATTTGCGGAGCGCTGATTTTAAATGATCAAGCAATTCCAAGAAGGGTGTTAAACCCCTACATGGGACCGAAACCACCTGAAAGAGGTTGTGCTGCTTCCAGAAGGGGAAAGAGACCTCCTGAGAATAACTGCCCCACGCTGGGATTTACCTCATTAAGCAGCAGACCTCCCAGGCCTGTAAAACATTTTAAGTGGCTTCATCCAGCTGCTCCAACCCGCCCCTGCTTCGCTGGAGCACCCTGCACTACAGGAGGGCTCAGGCAGGGGGACAAAGGCTCACTGTGCTGTTACCTGTTTTGCATCAGAGACAAGCATAGGGGACAATGTAGCTTCTGAAAAAAGAAGAAAAAGCACCAGATTGTAAGAAGCGGGTGGCATTTCGAGTATCATCTTAAATCCAAAGACCTAATTTTAAAGTCCCACATTCTTCCAGTTCTTTGGGTGTCTTTGTCAGATATTTCAACTCAATCATTGTATTTTTGGGTGTCCCCCCAACCCCAATCATTCAAACCTTGTTTTCCTGAGGTCTGAAGTTTCTATCTCAGCAATCCACTCCACCAAGTGTATTTAAAAAGCTTGTGAATCTGTCTACGAACAGTGGTGTGACAAAGAAAACTTAAGAAAAACGGTACCAGCCTATTGTCACGAAAACATACACCCAGCAACAACACACGCACATAATCGAGATTTTTGCAAAGCGTGTGTCATGCTTACAATAACACCAGCAATGAATTAATGGAGTTAACCCAGAGTGCAAGAATATTTTCGATATCCCTTTAAGGGGCTTGGTATGATGGATTCTTGCAGGGAACAACTAGAAATAAGTAAGCCCATGAACAGGGGAACAATTGTTCCCTGAGCCTTGGCATTAGGCCAGCAATCATCATGTTTGCTCGCTTAACACAAACTGGGTAAATACAGAGAGAAAACACCAATCTCTAGGGCAATCACTCAGGAAGGCAGCTTAACTGTACATTTATCTGTAAAAGTCTCGTAGAATTATAAGACTTCCATTGACATCTACTCTTAAGAATCAGTTCTGAGCTGTATTTAGATATTATACAGGTCTAATAGTGTGCTGAGAGCTTAATGCGGATGTGTAAAAAGAGAAACAACCTAGCTGAATGGCAATGGGAAAGACCAGCTTGCTTTTTAGAAAACTGTAACAACTCTTAATGCTACACATGGCAATTTTCACACACTGATATTGGCACAATTAAAGAAAAGTAATATTTAAATGATTTTCACTGCTTCCAATTTCACCAGGACATCGGCACAAAGCGTTGAGTGAGACTTTTCGAATTAGTGGTGTGGTTTTTTTTCCTTGCTTGCCTCCAACATATTGTTTGACGCTCCAGGGGAGTTTGGCTGCTGGAAGAACTGAAAAAATGAGAACAAAGTTTTTCTAAGAGACTTTTTTTTTTTCCCCTCTGCTGGAATGTGTTGGAAAGAATGCTGGGCCAGCTGGGGAGGTTCTGGTCGCAGTCCTGCTGCGACCAGCCTCAGGGAAGTCAGCAGACCCCGGGGGGCTGGCCCCTGGCTCTCGGAGGGGAGGCTGGGCAGGGAGAGGCTACATCTGTTTCTCAAAGCAAGGCCCTCTCACATCTGTTCTGGAATCCTCTCTGCTGCTATCCTAAATGCAGAATCCTAGCAGAGTCAACAGATGTTCCAAGATGCGTGTTGCAGAATCTGTAGTGTATGTTTCTTTATTTTGCAGCGCTGGGTGTTAAATCCAGAGCCCCTGCATGCTGGGCAAGTGATCTACCTCTTAGATACACTCCCAACTCTTTTTATTTTATTTTGAGACACAATTTAGCCAAGTTGCCCAGGCTGGCCTTGAACTCATGATCCTCCTGCCTCCATTTCCTGATTACCTGGGCCAGGACCAGGCTGAGGCATGTACCACTGTGCCTGGCTTGGCTTTTGAACAATACTTATTATTTAATTATTTACATTCATAAACTTGTTTGGATCTCATTTCCATACCAATGTAGGTCAACTTTAGGCCCCTGGTAACTTTACAGCCACCTTTTAGCTGTTGTGTTAGCAGGTGGAATCCTCATGATGACAGCTGAGAAAAGAGCGTAGCAGCCAGACCAACACAGAGGGACCAATCATGAAAAAATATCATTCATTCTCTATTTATTTCTATTTCTTAAATTAAATCCTGCTTGGAAAGGGAATGTGCTCATGTAACACTCCGGCTCAGCTTTGCAGTGCCCCAAGTGGCTGCTTCTGGCTGGCTGGCTCATCGAGGTGGTTTGGTACCTCACATACTTTTCAGTACTTGTGCAGAGTAACCGTGTGGATCAAGAGAAGTCTGTGCTATAGGGCTAGGGTATGATCACTCCAAGTGCCTTTAAGTCCTCCTGGTAGGATCTCCTGGTAGAATTTCTCTAGCGTGCAGCAGGGGATAACACTGGAGCCCATGACAAAACTCTTCATTTTTTTCCCCAAATGTATTTCACTTTGCTAGCAGGTTGTGTGAGTGGTGCTACTCGGCCGTGGTGTGCTACAGCCAGCGTCGAAGAGGAGAGCATCTGTCTCCCCTGATGGGGTTTATAGCGAACAGCACCAGTGGTGCCTTTCAGCACAGAATGTCTGAAGACTTAAAAGGAGTAATTGAAAAAATATCCATAGCAGGCAGGCCTGAAACTTTCCCGCTGAGTT